AATTTTTCACTTAACTGGTCTAGACGACAATGACCACGTCTCAAGTTATATGTATATATATAGGTGAAAAATTAAAGCTTCCGCTTTTTGTTGGGTACTTCGACAAAATTTAAGCAAAGAGGACTCTTTATACTTTTTTTAATTCTCTCTAGCTTTCAATGGACTTTGCCATCATCATCAGGAGCTGCAATTACATTGATATTCTATCAGTTATGTTATTCCCAACAATTACATCAATTCAAACAGTACAAGCACCAACCCAAACTCCAGACCTGGTTTTGCTGTCCTACCCTATATCAAGGAACTGACCCCTAAGCTGATTAGATTGTGCAGTCCTTTGAACTTTCGAATTGCTTGCAAATCCGTCCTCACTATAAACTGCATTTTTTCAAAAATGAAAGACCCGCTGCTTGGCTGAACCAACACAGTCTATCCATCAATTGCAACAACTGCAACCAAATATACTACATAGGTCAGACCTCCAGATCTCTTAAAGGAAGGATTACATCACACAAAAGTGATTCTAGGCATCATCCTGAAAGATACGCTCTAGCATCTCATGTTAACACAACAGGAGACTCTATGAATTACACAAGTATCAAAGTTCTTGATAAAGAAAAACACCTATCCAAATGTTTATTCCTGGAAATGTCTCACATTTTCATGAATAACAACTGTACCAACAAAAAGACAGATGTTAAGCAACTGAGTGTCATTTACTCATATTTGCTAAACTGCGAAAAATTGGAGAACTTACGTATCTCCCCAAATTTTGACTCTTCACAACCATAAATGGAATCTGTTTCTTGGTCGATTCCACCAATAAACTTCATTCCACTCAAATTCTAATAATTTTCTCCTCACGATTTAATAATAATTGTTAATTTAATTTCCCATTAATGAAAATATAGTTAATTCAACTGCCTCTGGTCGGTTTAACAATTTCTTACATAACATTCTGAAAATCACATCATCTGAAGTGATTTGGCAACGTGGCACACGCCCACAATTCGTTCCATCTTTCTACACAGACATTGACAACCTTCGGCCTTCTGTCAAAGGGTTCATCTCACTCATTATTCCATGACCACCATTTTGTGCAATCATCAAGTGGCTTCACGATGTAATGCTTTCATGTTCTAAAAATTTTTTATCTGTTTTAACTTGTTCTTGTCACACATTTGTGTGTATTTTATATAATTTTGACCATTGTAACATCTATCCAGCTTTCACCATGTTACTGGGTGTTTCCCTCATCCTGAACGTAAACAACAATTAGCAACATCCTCACATACTACTGTAAGTTAAGTCAATTTAAATTCATTTTACACTATTGTTGCCACTGTTATCAATGTAATTGCAGCTCCTGATGATGATGGCAAAGTCCTTGAAAGCTAGAGAGAAAAAATTAAAAAAAGTAAAGTAAAGTAGTCCTCTTTGCTTAAATTTTGTCGAAGTACCCAACAAAAGACGGAAGCTTTATATATATATATGACTTTGCCATCTTTATCAGGAGCTGCAATAACATTGATAAAAATAGCAAGTATTGTACAAAATGAATTTTAAATTACCTTCCAGTAGTATGTGAGGATGTTGCCAAATGTTATTTACGTTTAGGTTGAGGGAACACCCAGTAACCTGGTGAAAGTTGGATACGTGATACATTCGTCAAAATTAATACAAACTACACACAGCTGTATGTCAGGAACAAATTAAAACGGATTAAAAATATTAAAAATTACATCGTGAACCACTTGATGTTGCACAAGATAGTGGGCCTAGGATCATAAGTAAGATGAATCCTTTGACAGATGGCAGGAGGTTAGTAGTGTCAGTGTCGGTGGATGGAACGAAAATTCTTTTGTAAAGTGTGTGCTAGGTTGCCAAATCACTTCAGATGGTGTGATTTATCAAGATATGTTGGGTACGAACTTGTCAACCGACCAGAGGCAGTTGAACCAACTATATTGTTGATGAGATGGGCAATTGAATTAACCAATTATTATTTTATTATAAGAAAACAATTATATATATATATATATATATATATATATATATATACTTATAATTTTAGAAAGTTCCCAATTTTTGTTAATGACCCGACGCAAAGACAATGGCGGTATGTGCATTTTAGAGGAAACTTACTACGGAGTTTTTTTGTTTAGAGTCGACAAAGCAATTTAAAAACGAGCTTTAGTGATAGTGATTAAAAATGTTCTCAGAGGTATAACTGCTTTTTGCGTGATCAATATGTTGATTCTTATTCTAGGACGCCATGTGCAGAATGCAATTCTAATGCATTTTCCGCCTTATGTTTTTCATCATAAGAGCATATAAAGACAAAATATCGCAAGTTGCATTTTTTGCACTGTCTAGCTTGCAATTGAGAATATCATTAATCACTTTCATTTATATTGCAATTCCCATCAAATGAAGGATTTCTCCTTGTTATTATAGCAACTAGACCTTGCACCTATTTCATGCAAATAGTTGCTCAATAGGAAGCTAGTCATTCGCAAGGCAGATATACATATTTACATATTTTAGATGCATACGAGTACTACGAACTGCTCGATTACAAACAACAGAAAATGTCAATAACACACGCAACAATTGTATATGAATTGAATTATTTAATTAATTGGATTATTTTCCGGGGATTTAGATTTGATCATTATCGACAATGAGGTATGCTGGTCAACATTATCGTAATGATATAATGTAAAGAACAATTTAAAATAGGTTAGCCTGTATTGTAATAACATTATTTTTATAACTAGAATAATAACTATCTGGCTTGGGAATTATATGAATTATTGTAATATAGTTCATTTCACGACTTTTTGTAGTTACTTCACAGTTGCCATACGAAATATGTAAATATATACAGGGTTTGTCCTGAAAGTAATAGGACTCATTTTGTTCCGCCATGACTGGATTCGGTAGAGGGCGTTCCTAGCTAACGAATGAGCGGCTGGTCAGTTGTCTCCGAGCACTTGGAGAGTCAGGACAGGCATTTTCGCGCGACGTGTTTCTGTGAGTGGTGCAAGCCGAAAATGCAGCGTTTGTTAGAGCAGAGGTACGCGATTAAATTCTGTGTGAAACTCGCTAAATCTGCGACAGAGACGTTTGATATGATCAAGCAGGCTTACCCAGGTGTTGCTTTAGCAAGAAGTGGTGTGTTTCGGTGGCAACAGGCCTTTTTGGAGGGTCGGGAAGAGGTCGCTGATGAAAACCGCTCACTGACGACCAGAAATTGCGGCGAGTGTAAGTGTGCCAAGAAAATTTGAACATGTGTGAAAGTGACCACCAATTTTTGAATAACGTAACCACGAGTCGTGGATCTTTGAGTATGATCCCGAGACAAAGAGGCAATCTTCCGAGTGGCACACGACTGCGTCTCCTCGCCCAAAAAAAGGGAAGAATGAGCAAATCCAAAGTGAAAACGATGCTCATTGTCTTTTTTGGCATCAAAGGCATCGCCCACCATGAATTTGTTCCTCCTGGAAGTGCTCAGGAGACTCAAACGAAGGGTCAGTCGGGTCCGACAAGACATCGCAGCCGACTGGAAGTTGCACCACGACAACGCCCCGGCTCACACCGCCTTTCTTGTGAACAGCTACCTGACCAAGGCCGGCATCACAACGCTTCCGCAGCCGCCCTACAGCCCAGATGTGCCCCCCTGGACTTTTTTTGTTTCCTCGCCTGAAAAGGCCGATGAAAGGCAAGCATTTTGAGACGACAAAAGGGATCCAAGTTTTAAAGAATTGTAACGATTGGCCCAATAATTTTTTTTAAACCGACTCAGTCCTATTACTTTCCGGACAAACCCTGTATAGCGCATAATGGCAACTGCTACTCGCTCTTGCACACTCACAAACCGTTAAAAGACCTATACGTGTTTACGTATTTGATGGTGAGTAGTGCCAGATTAAGACACCTAGGGTCCTGTAGCAAATTATATCAAGTGGCTTAGGGGCGGCGATTGAAAGTTGAAGAGTGGGAGGGGGAGGGGTTGGAGCTGCATCAGTACTTTTGAGAGGGCTCTTATTGCTTGTAGTATTTGCTACTCTTGCTACTGCTTGTTAAACCAGTGCTGATGATAATAATAATAAAGCCTTTATTGCCCGTCAGCACAGAGATACCATTTAGAGAGCAATACATAGCACATTGATTTAATTTGCTCAGGGTCAAAGGTTAAACCGTGTAACATTTCTTAATTCCTGAGATCCACAACAGAAGATATTGCCAGGAGTGATCTCACTGTAGCGGTTTATACGCACCCAATAGGCGCCATATAGATCGATAGATACTCTAAGCCACATCCGCGGAGAAACGTGCACATCGTCGGTAAATAACGCATAATAACATATTCCAAATGTTGACTGTTGCATACTGCGAAGCTACTTTGGACAAAAGCAACGTTTATCGGTGGTACAAAATGTCAACAATAGACGAAAACATCGATGGGTTCTTGCCGCAGGGTAGAACGGTCAATAAGGAATATTACCTTCAAGTAATGCGCAATTTGCGAGAAGCAATCCGCCAGAAACGCCCGGATTTATGGAGGAACAAAAGTTGGCTTTTGCACCGTGATAACGCCCCTGCTCATGCATCGTGTGTGCGAACTTTTGGCCAAAAACAACACTCCAATACAATAATGCCTCACCCACCGTATTCCCCAGACCTGGCCCCCTGCGACTTTTTCTTGTTCCCGCACCTGAAGAGACCCATGAAAGGACGACGCTACGACACGATTGAGGAGATACAGACGGCATCGAAGGAGGAGCTAAACAAGATCACAAAAAATGATTTTTCAAGATGCTTCGAAGATTGGAAAAAACGTTATCACGAGTGGATAATGTCTGATTGGGATTACTTTGTAGTGGACAAAGTAGATATTCATGAATAAATAAATAATTCTTGAAAAAACATGAAATTCGCGAATAGTGGAGAGGTGAGAAAGTGTAGATAGATTATTCAGTAGATCCAGAACTTACCATGATGGCGTCTATCGCAGCAACAATGATCGTTGATAAGATCTATACCCAAACAATACCTCTTCTCTTCTAAGCTGCACTTTTGGCAACCTGGCGATGGTAACACTGGAAATAAGATTATCTGTCAAGTAGTTTCTATCAGAACTGTATTTATAGCATGAATTTAAGCGTGTATATTATACTAAGTGACATATAAATCCGAACACCCAGTTTAAATGGCTTTATTTTAATAAAAGTTGGTGAATGTATTTATCTTACTGTAAATAACAAGTGAAAAAATTTTCAGCCTTATCAGTTGGACATTCCGGTTTTTATACTGCTTTTTTTTAATTCACTAACGCTCTAAAAATGAATATTTCAGCCGCAGTTGGCGGATTTTGGTTCTTGACATCCTTTACGATCGGTTACGATGCCTAGAGTACGGAGACCTGTACGATTTCGTCAACTTAGTGAGTTTGATAGGGGCCGTATAGTGGGACTTCGGGAAGCTGGACTTTATTTTCGGGCAATTGCAGTTAGAGTGCAAAGAAGTGTAGACACTGTGGTTAGGTGTTGTCAGGCATGGCTTCGAGAAGGCCGTACGCAAAGAGCAAGGGGCACTGGACGCCGCCGTAGAACAACAGACCGTGAAGATCGCCGCCTAAGATTATTGGCCTTAAGGGACCGTTTCTCCACTACCATTGCAAATGAATGGTTTGCAGAACACGGAAGACCTATTCGCATGCGAAGTATTTACCGACGAATGAGAAGTTTTGGCTTGTTTTCATACCGGCCACACTGGGTCCTCCCTTTAACTCGAGAACACCGACGTAATCGCCTTGAGTCGTGCAGACAACGGTCACTCTGGGATCAGGAATGGAACAGTATTGTCTTTAGTGACGAGTCTCGATTTTGTTTAGGCATGCACGATGGTCGTGCCAGGGTTAGAAGGCGACGTGGTGAAAGGAGGAATCCACAGTTTTTTGTTGAAAGACATGTTCATCACACTGTTGGAGTTATGGTTTGGGGTGCTATAGCTTATGGTTCCAGGTCACCTTTAATCTTCATCGGAGGTAACATGAACGCGCAGCGTTATATCCACGAAGTTCTAGAACCCCATCTTTTACCCTATCTTGACACCCTGGCAGATCCAACTTTCCAACAAGATAATGCCCGACCACATGTTGCAAGAGTCACAATAGACTTCTTTCAACATAATGATGTGACATTGTTGCCATGGCCACCAAGATCTCCCGACTTATCCCCAATTGAGCACGTGTGGGATATGTTGGGTAGGAGATTGCTCAATTTGCAACGTCCTCCTCAGACTCTAGAAGCACTTCGAGAGGAGTTGGTGGTTGCCTGGAAGGAGATACCACAGGAGGACATTGACCACCTGATCAGAAGCATGCCTAGGCGCGTTGGAGAATGCGTAGCACATCAGGGTGCATCCGCACATTATTAAAGGTCAAAGGGCTTTAAAGCAGTGCAATCATTTTGAAATTTTTATCATTTACTTATTATGCTTCATTAAGTACTTATACAAAATTTTATTAAAATTATACCATTTAAACTGGGTGTTCGGATTTATATGTCACTTAGTATAGTTGTCATTTCAAAAGATTGGATTGTCTATGAACAGACAGTTATACGTAGATTGTTCCAAAAAAAATTTGATTTCTGTAGCAGATTTCGGAATTGGTCTACACTGGGGGTGGGGGGCATGTTATGAGCGACTGAAATTTGAAGAACGGGGGAGCTTTAGCAGTGGTTCTGAGCAAATGGTTTTGTCACAATTAAAGAGTGGTGGTAAGATGCATCTAGGGAAGGGGAGGCGACAATGGTCTTCTTTCCAATGTTCTAAATTATAGACCTACAGTTATTTTTCATATGTTTACGACCGCTAATAATGTAACAATAACTCAGGATGTGTTGATTTTATCACCATCGGTGGAGGTCAAAAATAATCGAAATGAAAACAAAATATCAAATTCATGTTCGATCAAATCTCCTTCTTGGGTTTGACAATAGCCTAACCTGTTGTAGAATCCTGTGCGAATATTTTCTGGTGTAACAACATATTGGTAACGCGGCAGATTGCATGACCTTCTGCGTCACGGTTGCTAGGCTTCGTGGAGATGACTTTCGTCTTCAGCCGGCTTCTATCTCTTTCTAACATATGTGTTACACATTTCTCTCTCGTACACATTGAACTTAACCCGCCAGACAAATTTGGTTATCCCTAAATAGTTGTAGCGCCATTGATTATGATGATGATTATAGAAAATGGAAACAATGATCCACTGTACAACAAATTTTAGTTTTTTAATTGTATCTTGTGGGAAAAGTGCACTTCTTTGTTAATTTTGGGGCGCTGAATCAAAAAATGACAATGAAATAAAAAAAATTAGTTGCGGTTTAGAAAAAAAAACTTTTTATTTTTAAGGATATATTAAAAAAAGTAACAAGATTCATATACTTATAAGAATCACTATATGCGCTGTCTTTTTGCTGTTCTTTTATGGATCGTTTCTGGAGCATCTCTACCAAGAGTCCAACAGTAGTCTGCAAGCATGGAAGGATTCCACTTTCCCTGGTACCTTTTTTCCATTGTTGAAATATCCTGATGAAAACGTTCGCCGTGCTCATCACTTACGGCTCCGCAATTGTCAGGAAAAAAGTCCAGGTGTGAGTGTAGGAAATGTATCTTATGAGACATATTACAGCCCATCTTTTGATACGATGACAGCATATTTTTGACAAGGGTTTTATAGTTGTCAGCTTTTCTATTTCCCAAGAAATTAGTGACCACCAGACGGAAATCATTCCAAGCAGTTTTTCCAATACCTGTTAAAGTGTTTTCAAACTGTGTATCTTTCAAAATATTTCGAATCTGTGGCCCAACAAAAATACCTTCTTTAACCTTTGCCTCACTTAGTCTTGGAAATTTCTGACGCAGGTATTGAAAAGCTGACCCATCTCTATCTAATGCCTTGACAAAGTTTTTCATTAGGCCCAACTTGATATGCAGTGGTGGTAATAAAAATTTTTTCGAATCTACTAATGGCATATGCTGTACATTTTTTTGACCTGGCTCTAGGAATTGACGAACAGGCCAGTTTTGTCTGGTGTAATGAAGTGCCTTTGCCCGACTGTCCCATTCACACAAAAAACAGCAAAACTTTGTGTAGCCTAGCTGCAGCCCGAGTAAAAATGCAACAACTTTCAAATCGCCACAAATATGCCATTGGTGCTCATCGTATTTTATGCATGTCAATAGGTACTTCATACTGTCATATGATTCTTTCATGTGAACTGCATACCCTACAGGAAGAGATGATAAAATATTTCCAATATGCAATAACACTGCCTTTAAACTCAATGTTGAACTGTCTATAAACAATCTCCATTCTTCTGGGTTATAGTTTATATTTAAAGCCGCCAGTAAGCCGTTAATGTTACTGCAGAAAACCAAGTTATTCTCCATACTGAAAAATGGTTCTAAGTCTTTGTGGCGTTTACGAAAAACACATACCGAAACATCGTCTTCTAACAAGTTCCACTGCTGCAGTCTTGATCCAAGTAACTCTGCCTTACATTTTGGAAGTTCTAAATCTCTTACAAGATCATTTAGTTCTGACTGTGTTATTTTGTGCGGTTGGTGGCATGACGTGCTCGGTATAAAATCAGGATCTCTTGACGTTGATGGCATATCTTCTTCCTGACGAATCACTCGATCGCCATGATATGATTCATTTTCTGATTCGCAAGTGTAGGATTCTGGGGGTTTTGGAATAGGATTTTCGTCATTGTGAGGCACAGGTCTCATCGCAGATGGTATGTTTGGGTAGTTAATAACCGATTTTTTTTTCTTGGACATACCTGTGGCTTGTCCAACACAAGGTACCATGCAAAAGTAACAATCATTAATATGATTTGTAGGCTCTCTCCAAACCATTGGGACAGCAAAGCGCATAGACCGTTTTTTGCCATTTAACCAGCTCCTCAGACATGTATTACAGCAGATGTGGGGTGCCCACTGTTTGTCTTGATCACCTAGTTTACAACCGAAAGCTGATATGCCTTTGTTATTAGTGGAGTAATAGACCGTCTCTGAGACGCAAAAGTCACATCACCACACACGTAACAAAACTGATCTGGATTGTTTACACACTTTCGAGACATCTTGCATGAACGCTGTCAGCCAACTGAGAAAAAAATGGCTAATATAAAACAATATAATGTACACGTATGTATAACGTAACACAATCATGCCGATTACACTTTGAAAGGTATTTTGGGAGGCCATAATATCCAGAAGCGTTTTCGGCGTCCCCCGTTTTCCCCTGTGTCCCTATAGCCCCAGGGTGTTTAGGCCTTAGGCCTTCGTAGTGGTTCAGGTATAAAGAAAAAAAAATAGATCGCTGTGTTTTGCCAAACACCAGTCATAGGTAATTCAGAAATGCTCGTTAAGAATGATGTGAATAACAGAATAATCACCAGTCTAATTCGTAATAGGAGTGGAAATATAGCGATTAACTTTAAAAGTGCGAACATGACACTATTCATAAAAATTGATGGACCATATGAACAATGAGCACGTTTTATTATGTGGGTTTGAAAAAACTGACGTGGAAAATTGTGTTGTTGTGAAGTGCCTTCCAGTCAATTAAGTGGAAAAATAAATTGGCTTAATTAATCCAAGGTCGGATGAAAGCATCATGTCTCGTGCTTGTCAGTCTCGGTTACAGTAATTGTAAGTGAATATGCATACCGCATATGTATGAAATAATACGTGTGCATATATTATCTACCAATGGAAATGATTCACAGATCATTTTCCAAGTGGAATCTGATAAAAGTCACCACAGTATATCTTCGATCAACACTTTCTTCAGTTCATAATCCGCCCCTTGATTACATACACATGATATTTAAATATACTAAGTGACATATAAATCTGAACACCCAGTTTAAATGGTTTTATTTTAATAAAATTTTGTATAAGTACTTAATGAAGCATAATAAGTAAATGATAAAAATTTCAAAATGATTGCACTGCTTTAAAGCCCTTTGACCTTTAATAATGTGTGGATGCACCCTGATGTGCTACGCATTCTCCAACG